CCCTCTTCCTCCTCCGTCCCCCCAAGTTTCCCTACCTCCTCCCCATCCCCCTGGCCTTCCCCCCCTCCTCCCCCGTACAGGCAGAAGCCGCGTGTGCTCAGACGTGCAGTATCCGTCAGGCAGCTTGTCGTTTTTGCCGTCTCGAGTTCTGAGTTTCTTTGCCCTCCGCCGCTCAACCTCCCCTTTACCCCCCACCACTGGCGGAAGCCGCGTGCGCTCGGACGTGCAGTACCCCGTCGGGCTTTTTCAGCGCGCTGATCGCCACTCTCCAATCTGCGTTCCGCCTCTCTCCCCCTTTCCCTTCCCCTGGCCTCCCCCTCCTTCCCCGCAGGTGGAAGCCGCGTGCGCACAGACGTGCAGTACCCGTCGGGCATCTTCAGCGCGCGGATCAAGTGCCCTAAGGGGGACATCAGCGGCCTGGTGCAGTCCTACTATGTACGTTCTCTTCTAGCCTCGCCTTTTACCCTCGTTATAAGGCGCCTCAAAAGTACCCGTCGGGTGTTTCCAGCGCGCGGATTGAGTGTCCCAAGGGGGACACCAGCGGCTTGGTGCAATCCTACTATGTACTGTCCGAAGCTCGAGTTTATCCTCGTTATAAGGCGGTCGGCAGACAGCTAAGTAAGGCTGCAGATGCTGATTTCTCTCGATGTCCCCTTCCGTCCTTCAGTAAGCCGCGTTCCGTTGACGCATTTTCAGAATCTCAAATTTCGTCTTCCAACCTACATTGCTCCAATACCCGCCCCCTCCCGCTGACGTCACTCTCGCGACTTGCAGTTATCCTCGTTGGAAGGCAGCCGCGATCAGGACGAGATCGACTTCGAGTTCCTGGGAAAGGACAAGAACCAGGTGCAGACAAACTACTACGTGGACGGCAAGGGCGGGCGGGAGGTTCTGATCCCATTAGGGTTCGACTGCTCGTCGGACTTCCATGAGTACGCCATGTTCTGGAACGAGAATCAAATCATGTAAGTGAATATTTGAGGTGCCTTCAAAGGTAATTTGTAACGAGAATCGCCTCATGCAAGTGGAACCTTGAGGCGCTTTAAGGAATTTGGAATGATAACCAAATCATTTATGTGGGCCTTCTCGTTAACTGTATACCTTCTTTCAATGACTGCGCCTCTCTCCCCACTCTCCCTTCTAATGACTGCGCCTCTCTCCCCACTCTCCCTCCTTTAATGACTGCGCCTCTCTCCCCACTCTCCCTCCTTTAATGACTGCGCCTCTCTCCCCACTCTCCCTCCTTTAATGTCTGCACCTCTCTCCCCACTCTCCCTCTCCTCTACAGTTGGCAGATTGATGGCAAGGTGGTGCGAGTGGCAAAGCGCAAGGACGGGGAGCCGTACCCTGTGAAGCCCATGTATGCGTATGCGTCCATCTGGGATGCGAGCTATGTGCTCGATGGCCGATGGTCGGGCGACTGGCGTGGCTGGAACGAGCCCTACATTGGGTGAGTGCAATTCTTAGTATGCTCAAATCCCGTGTCTGCGTCCATCTGGGCGTCCATCTGGGATGCGAGCTATGTGCTCCATGGGCGATGGTCGGGCGACTGGCGTGGCTGGAACGAGCCCTACATTGGATGAGTGATACTTCAGAAGCAACACAATCACACTACTGGCTACCTGCAGCATGAATCGCTAATATCTTGCCATTCTGAGGCGCCTCAAAATACACCTCGCTAATATCACACCATTCTCGATCGCTTTCCTTGTGGCATCTGCACATTCCTGCTGTTCATAGGCTTCGCAATTTGTGGCAAAGTCGCAAACATGGGCAGACTACCCTGTCTCAAACCACGTCTCTCCCCTACTCGTTTGCTTGCCTGGAATATGTTTATAGCGAGTACGAGGACCTCAAGGTGGTCTCACCCGCACCCGACGTCTCCTGGTAGGACACACAGGCATGGCTGTGTGAGTGAGGAGGGGAATGGGGAGGGAGGGAGGGAGGGGAGGCGCTGGCAGCCGGAACAGTACATGTGATTTACCTCAGTTCAGTACATAGAGTGCAGCGAATAAAGAGGAGCCACCAACCTGGGCGTATGGGATCACAGAAGGGGCAGCTGCAGCCATTGGAAGTTTTGAGACATCTCAAAACAAGTTACATCCAGGGAAAGTGGTGGAGCAGAAACAGTGTGGGATCGTGGTTTCAGGCATCCTCTCTAAAAGCTAGGTGCTAGTCATTTGTATAAGGCTATACTCGTACTACTGTAGAAAGGTAGTCTACCGTAGCTGTGTTGAGTACCGGTACCTTGCTGCTGCTAGAGCAGGCTTAGGGCTGCGTAGGACTGCGTTCCCGGTGCCAACGCAACGATGCTATGGGTTATAGCATAACCTGGTTGGAAGGAACGGTAGAAAGGGAGAATGGTTGGAAGGGGGTGTGCTGATTTTAGCACGTATGCACTTGTTTGCGCCCAAGGCTTCTCAAATGCTGAATTGATGAGCACCCATGATGCTAAACTTCACAGCGAATGGTTTTTTTAGGCAGACGTCTACATGCTGTTGACAAGACAATTCAAAGCTTCATGGTTGCGAAGATTGCTCCTCCATATCAATCAAAGCAAAGGAAGTGAATACTCCTGCTGTGCAAAATACCAATATTTTTTTATGTGTTACAGTACGGTTTTTGGCCCATAGAGATGTAGCTCAAGCTTCACTGAACGTCCCAGGCCAACAGCGGCGAGTGAAAAGTGCAGCAGCAGTTCATACCGGTCTGACCCTGCATGGATTGCCCAAATCCTTTCCTCATGACCTGAACATTGTTGGGCTGAAAAAATAGCCCTTAGGATCTTTTCAAGGCTAAGATCTATTGTACCTAGTAGGAGTGTTGTAGTTTGCGGAAGCGTTAATAAAGATTTACTTGAACCACCTTGCACTGGTATGTAAGAACAAGATAAGTTGATAATAGCAGAGAGATACAAGGCTTTCATATGATTACAAAGGAATATGAAAGGTTATACTTTAACTGCTTTTGCTGTTACGGTTCGATACAGTGACGACTCGGGTAACTGCTCAGTACCGAGTCAGTTATGTGTCCTTGCTGTCGCACTGTAATTTTCGTCGAGTCAAAGGTCAACGACCTTTGACATTCGCGTAACCTCTAGCTGTTACGGTTGTTGACTCGCGTGTTGTTTCGCTGTAGTCCGCTTCGTTTCGTGTCGATACTTCGATTACTTCAGAAGCGTTAAATTACTTGTTTTCAATTCCAACAAACATGACCATGGTACAGGTCAAAATGCATTAAGGCCTCTTGAAGGTTCTCTTCCGTGGAATTCATAAGAAATGTCCGTCCACTCCACAAAGCATCAAGGTTTCCAGCGTTGGCCTTATCCCCCCTCCGGCTGTATAGTGTCTTACAAAACAGAATTTATCTGTGAATTACGGCCTCGATACCCATTTAAGCATTTGATAGTTCCTCAATGCAATTTGTTTGGTTCAATATAGCGAATCATATTCAAGTTTGGATGTGAGCCACTCCTGAGCTTCCAACCCGAACAGCCCGAAAACAGAAACTATTCGTTTCGTCCGCGATTCCCGACTACACTTCACTAGCAGGTGTCTGCCCAGAAACTAACATCTAGACCACAAACCATGCAACACCCTTGGTTTTGGTTACAGCGGCCAGCCCATGTTCTGTACTTCACCACTACCCCCCAAACCTTGCGCCAGAATTCACTACGAAACGAGTGGTTGACATTCCTAAGGGAGGAAGCACATCGCTGATGGGAGAGGTTGGAGAGGAGACAACAAAAGAACCATGTACCGTACTTAGACGTTCTGTAAACCGCAATACCTGTTCAGATAGCTCTATTTTGGAATGTCTGTGCGGTTGACGAATGATAGTAAAAGACCAGGAGGGGATGGATGGTACACAAGATGCTCGTTTGACTAACCCAAGGTTGCCTTGTAAAGAGGGCTTCTAATTGATTTTCGAGATTTCGCGAATTTCGTGAAAGTCGCATATGGCGAAAAAGGGCTTATTAGCAAATTGTAACTCCTCGTTGACAGTTTGACTTCAGTCTCTTCTGTTTGACTTCGGTTTCTGTGGTTCGTATTGGTTCATAACCACTTGCTCGAGGGGCTTGTAATGTGGGTGCAACTGGCTGGTAAAAAAACACGGGTGCAGACTTTCCATCCGGTGTGGGGCAAATTCGTGCGCAGGGGTTGAGCATCGTGTGTACACGAAGACTTGCAGACATAATCGTCCCCCAATGCCTGGAGTGATTATGAAGCTCCACCTACCTCAGCCAGCCTTAGTACTGTAGTTGCTTGATAGATAGTTCCTTGCTGGTCGTCTCGGAGTGGTCGTTAGTGTCAGCCTTTGTGAATGTGCTGCCTTGTGGGGTATGTCACCTTTCGCCAATGCTCTGAGCTTCCCAAAGTTTTTTCTCATCGTGTGCGACGTAGACTCGTCATTGGCGGGTAAAACCGTCTGTCAACGTTTTTACCTGGTCACGAATGCAATATTGACGTAATCCTCGACTTTCAAACGCATTCGGTGACCGCTTTTTGAGCTCGTTTTTACTGCTTATTGCAAATTCATCGTCACTCAACAGTCTCTAACTGGCGGTACTCGGAACACGTTTTTGACAAGTTGATAAGTGTGAGTGCTAGGGGCGACGCGTGAATTCTTTTCGCAACCGTGTGGCTAAATATTGACCCTTTTGTTTTTCGACAAAACACTCGCCAGGCGCCCTTTGTTCCACGGATATACGCGCGCTTTATTCCTGGTTGCATCTGCTGAGTCCTCCGATGTCGTGCGTTGAACTGCTACGATTAAATCCTAGTCATCCGGCAGTTACGGAGCTAGTTTATCGCGTTCCAGTGGCGGCGGATTAGAGCGCATATTATCCGGACTTCATTAGTGTAATTTATCGTGCATATTATGGTGCAGTCTAAGCCAAACAACGGTCAGATACTATAATCGTCTCTTACCGCCAGTCAAATACATATACCCGCTAGAAGCAGACCGGAATTTGAGGATCCCAACGGGTCATTAGCAGCATGGCGAAGGTTGCGGATCTTATCATGGGGCTCGGCGTTTCCCACGGCACTGAATTGTTACTCGCCTACAGCCCTTTCGGCGAATTCGACGAACTGCTTCGCCAAACGCTAAAGAAGGTTCCTCCCAACATGCAGTGGTTCTCCTGGGTATGTCAGCTCGCCTTGTTTCTCGCCTTGTTTATCGCCTTGTGTCTCACCTTGTTTCCGTAACGCCCCACCTGATTCCATTCGATTTGCTTTCTCATGGGCAGCTCCCGTTCCTACATTCTTCCCCATCCACCTCCATCCTCGCGTTTTAACCCAATCCCGCTGGTTTTTTCTTTCCGTTGCTTTTTGCTACCCGCTTCTGATTCCTGCGTATCCCTTCCCCTGGTCCTTGATTTCTGTTGCCTGTTTCGTTTACATCGTTTACAATAAAGCGTTTATATATCTCTATATTCCTCTTCTAAACACATCAGTTACTTTTCTAATTCCTGTCAGAGGTGTTTATATACCACCTAATCATGAATCCCTTCCAATTCGCTGATCTTATGGAACCACATACGGCTTACAGACCTGGGGAAAAAAAAGTTGCACTTCCGAACCCCTTCCCCCTTTCCCATTCCCTTTTCCCCGACCTCCACCCCTCTACCCCCTTTCCCCCTTCCTCCCACCCCTCTCAGCCCGCCCTTCACCCCTTTCTCCCATTTCCCCGTTCCTCCCACCCCTCTTCCCGCCCTCCACGCCTGTTCCCTATTTCCCCCTTCCTCCCAACCAACTTCTCTTCCATGTCTACAGGGCTTTGACCAAGTGATGTTCCTCTTTCTCACTCACCAAAGTTGCATATTCTCCATACGAGTGCACTTGCCTTCTGCAACACCCCTTTCCCCAGCCCCCCAATTTCTCCTTTCTTTCCCCTTTCCCCCCACCCCTCTTACCCCTTCGCCTCTTCCCCCTTCCCCCCTTCTTCCCAACCACCTTCCTTTCCATGTCTACAGGGCTTTGACCAAGTGATCTTCCTATTCCACATCTACCAAGGTTACATATTCTCCATAGCTGCATACGAGTGCTACACCCGCAAAGAAGCTCGCAGCAAACTCACAACCCTCCGCAACCTCTTCCTCTCCTCCGCCTCCACCCCCTCTCCCCCCACAAAACCTTCCGACCTGCCCGAAGCTGCCCGCGAAACCCTCGAAAGCACCATGAAATCGTGGGTGGTGAATTCCCGAGGGGTGGTCCCGGCCCGGCTCATCCTGATCCTCCATCCAGGGGCCCCTAAGAAGTTTCTAACCAAGGAAGACCAAGCTCCGGATTTCGTAATGGCAGCTGAAGGCAGCGGTACAGCAAGGCTCAAAAGCGCTTTGGAGGAAATCGACGAGAACTACGACGATTTCGTGTTCACCATTCGCAAGCCCGGGTCCGGGAACAACGGTACCGGCGACGACGACGACGGGGAGGATTTCGTCTTTAATATTCCAAAGAAGATGGTGCAAGCAGTTGCTGCTCCGATCATCTTCACCAGCCCGCATCCCAGGCAGACGCCTGGGTTCGGCCAGGGGCCTGCTGGTGCAATAGGCGGGAACAGCAGCGGGAGCAGCAACCGGGTTCCCTCCGGGCATCAGTCAGGGCGAAAAAGCCCAACTATGTCAGGCGCTAAGGTCTCCCCCGACGATGCAGCCGCAGCAGGAGGGGGAGAGGGAGGGGGGGGCGAGGGAAACCCGGCCCAAAGCGGGCTGATAGCGAGAGCCAGAGCTGCGTGGTCTGTGCAGGTGGGGCGATCGGGAGGGAAGGATGGCGGGGGGACGTGGGAAGGGGAGAAGATCCGGGGACAGGTGGGGAACCTGGCCCCGTCGGGGCTGACTTGGGAGGAGGAGATTGCGTCGCAGTTGGCCTCGGTAGGGGTGCTGGTGGGGCCGGCTAAGGCCCAGGCCATGGCTGCTGCGGCAGCTTCTGTTAAGGAAGCGAAAGGCGGTGGGGCGGATGGATCGGGTGACGGTACTGCTGCTGGTGGCGGGACCGGAGGGGTGGGAGCAGGAGGTGGAGGAGGAGGAGGGGCTGGGGGAGGGGCAGCAGGAGGGCCAGCAGGAGGAGGAGCAGCAGGTGTGACGACGCCTAGGAGCAGGCTGAACCAGCCGCCGATCGATCACGCGCGGTCATTCTCCACTGCAGGCGCAGGGTCCGGGTTTGGCATGCAGGGGTCGCGGCTGAGGGACCGCGTGTACGTGGGCATGCCCGCACAGGCGGCTGGAAGGATCTTTGCGCGCAACACGTCCATGCCCAATGGCGGGCGGCCAGCTGGCGGTGCGATCGGGGCAGGGCTGGGCGGGGGCCTGGGGCGGCTGGCTCGGGGGCTGAAGAAGACTTTCAATCTGCAGAGCAGTCATGATAAGCTGATTGGGTGAGGGTGATTCGAGCAGATTTCTCAGTGGGGAATACAGGGTTGGGGTTCGGCGGTTGAGGGGTTTGGCATGCAGGGGTCGCGGCTGAGGGACTGCGTGTACGTGGGCATGCCCGCACAGGCGGCTGGAAGGATCTTTGCGCTGGCTCGGGGGCTGAAGAAGACGTTCAATTTGCAGAGCAGCCATGACAAGCTGATTGGGTGAGCCGTTGGGGGGATTGGGATCGCAGACGTCGAAAAACGACAGTTTTGCTCTGGGGGGTTGAATGGAGTGCTAGTGATGGGCTGAAAAAGGCCCTGAAGCTGCAGAGCAGCCATGACAAGCTGATTTGGTGACTCCATTAGCTTCAAGAGAGAGGTGGTGGGACGAGTAGGTTCTCAGTTTTTTCAGGCTGCTCAGAGAGTGTAGCAAGGGTTGGTCGATTGTGGGCTTGGAAGCTTGGGATGCTGGTGATGGGGTTGTTTGCGACATTCGCTCTGCGAATAAACCATGACAAGGTGATTGGGTGGTTTGCAGAGGGTGAGGCGTCTCAGCAGCTAATGAAGGGTCTGGTGTGGGGCTTGGTTAAGGTGTTTGAGTTGTCTGTCAATTTAAGGAGCCGCTACCTGCTGCTGGGTTTGATTGTTTTTGCTTCGATTTGCTGATTCGGCACATGCCATGGATGACTAGGAAGCAAGGAAGGGTACAAGTAGAATGTCGAGAGGATTCTGTACCCCCTAAGGCTAAACCCACTATAGCCTAGACAAATGTAAACACATGAACTAAGCCTAAATATAACTAAGCATATATGTTTGACACACCCCCATAGGCGAAGTGGGGGATAGCCAGAACAAGTAATGGTCACAAGACCAGTCAAGAAAAGCAAGGCAAGCTCAGGGTGGATCACAAAGTCACCACACAGTCCGAGCACAAGCAAAGGGCCACAAGGCCAGTTCACATGCAGAGTTATATAAAGAGAACAAACAATACAGTGATCATACCCTAACAAGTGCAAGCATGCAGGTATATAGATAGATCACAGTACAGGCAGAGTCAGGCAGTAAGTAAGTGAGGCAAAGTAGGCACAAGGCCTAACACAGTAACAAAGCGCTGATGGTCACCAGACGGAAGTGCCTTGGTGAAGACATCAGCAGTATTGGCCCGAGTGGCCACGTACGCTAGACGAAGCTGACCACGCTGCTGCAACTCTCGAGCAAGGAAGTATCGCAGAGCGATGTGCTTCGTTCTGTGCTCCAGTCTGTGCTCCTGACACAAGGCTATCATGGCCTTGTTGTCTACGTACAGGACTGGAGGCGAACGAGGCTGCTCTCCCAAGTCGGTCAGCAAGTAGGTGAGCCAGCGTAGCTCCTGAGCAGCCATGGCTCCGGCGTAGATCTCAGCCTCACAGCTGGAGCTGAGAACTGAAGACGAGCGGGTAGACCGCCAAGAAACCGAGCCGGACCCAAGGCCGAAGGTGTAACCCTGCGACGACCGCTGCGTAGCTGAGTCGTCAACCCAGGAGGCGTCTGCGTGACCAGTGAGGACAACTGGACCCCGTCCTCCAAGCACAAGCCCCATGCCCGATGTACTGCACAGGTAACGCAGTACCCTCTTCGCAGCATCCCAGTGCACCTTTCGGTGCCTACCGGGAGCCACGTAGCGAGCCAGAAGGCTGAGAGGGTACGCGAGGTCAGGTCGAGTGCAAGTCATCAGGTACATGAGGCAACCCACAAGCTCTGGGTACGGACCACTCGGCTCTACGGACTCGTCCGAAGGTGGAGCTGAGAGCGAGTGGCTGGTAGACAGAGGAGTGAGCTGTGGCGAGGAGTACTGGAAGCCAAAGCGCTGAAGGACCTGGTGCACCATGTGTGACTGAGTCAGTGTGACGGTGCGCTGTGCTCTGTCCTGGGTGATCTGTAGGCCAAGGTAGCTGCGCAGTTCACCCAGGTCAGTACAGGTATGTCTCTTCTGCAGCTCGGACTTCACTAGGGTCAGTGCCTCAGTGTAAGCCGTGGCAAAGACGAGGTCGTCGACGTACACTAGGACGTAGAAGGGCGGCAGCGAGGTGTCGGTGCGTAGAAACAGCGACGGGTCTGCTGTAGAAGGAACAAACCCAAGAGCCGCAAGTGTAGTCCTGAGTGTGTCGTGCCACTCGCGAGGTGCCTGGCGGAGACCGTAGACTGGCCGGCGGAGGCTCCACTGGGTACCTGTAGGAAAAGACCCAGTGAAACTAGGTGGTCGGCGCAGCCAGATCTCCTCGTGCAGGCTGCCCTGCAGGAAAGCAGTACTGAAGTCCAGGGAGTGTAACTCGTAGTCACGCTGAGCAGCTACGTGCAGCAACACCCGAAGAGTAGTCATCTTCGGGGTGGGGGAGAAGGTCTGGAAGTAGTCAACTCCCTGTCGCTGACTGAAACCTCGAGCAACGTAGCGCGCCTTGAAGGCAGGCGGAGAACCCGGCGGCCGCTTCACCCTGAAGATCCACATGCCATCGACTATGTTCACCCCAGGTGGGGGAACCTCGTCGACGTAAGTGCCTGTGGACTTCCAGGATGCCATCTCGGCATCCATTGCTGCCTGCCACTCAGTGGAGTAAGGACCCGTAATCGCCTCTGCGTAAGAGCGCGGGGTCGGGATGTCAGGAGCATCCGGGTCTCCGTCGGGGGCAAGCAGCAAGGAGGCGAAACGAGGTACAGCAGCTGCAAGACACTCAAAGTCCTCCTGCCTGTCCTCAAGGACGTCCGTGCCAAGAGCACACTCACCCCCGACGGACGGAGGACTGGCAGGCACAGACTCAGCAACTAGAGCAGAGGCGTAGTCGAGACGGCAGGCAGCAGCAAAGTCAAGTAGCTCAGCAACGAGAGCAGAAGTAGCAGCAGACTCAAAGGACGGGCCAGTGACAGCAGTGGCAAGGAGACGAGCGACAGTGGGACTGGCAGCACGCGCTCGGTCAGACTCAGGGTCAGGGACCGCAGGAAGAGAGGACTCAGGAGGAGCAGGTAGAGGAACACGCAGTGGAACACAGGAATGTTAGAATATATCTGTAACTGCCTGTAGCTGTAGTTAGTGTAGTTATTATAAACTTTGTTAGGTGGTGCACCTTCTTTGTTCATTTGCTATATGTTCTTGCAAACCTATAGTGAATTCATTTCCATTCTCCAATTCTCGCCTCTCTGCTTGGCACAAACTCCCTCGACTCCCTTGGCCTAGGCTACTAAGCCTAGGCCCTCACTTACCACTTGTGCCACTATCTTGACATGGCATTAGATCTTGTTACGTCCTGGCCTGTGGGCCAGCCTCACGCTTCCGCATCTGCTTTTCCGCTCGCGCGCCTCGGGCGCGTGGCGATTTTCGTTATGTCCCGCGCACGGGTGGCGCGTGAAGTTTGTTCTGCCCTGAGCCGCAGCGGATCCGCCCCTGGCGCCCGCGACGGTGCCTGCCTGCCCGTCGTGCGCCCCGTGGCGCGCGACGGTGCCCTGAGCCGCCGCGGACCCGCCCCTGGCGCCCGCGACGGTGCCTTGCGCCGCCGCGGACCCGCCCCTGGCGCCCGCGACGGTGCCCTGAGCCGCCGCGGACCCGCCCCTGGCGCCCGCGACGGTGCCTTGCGCCGCCGCGGACCCGCCCCTGGCGCCCGCGACGGTGCCCTGAGCCGCCGCGGACCCGCCCCTGGCGCCCGCGACGGTGCCTTGCGCCGCCGCGGACCCACCCCTGGCGCCCGCGACGGTGCCCTGAGCCGCCGCGGACCCGCCCCTGGCGCCCGCGACGGTGCCTTGCGCCGCCGCGGACCCGCCCGTGGCGCCCGCGACGGTGCCCTGAGCCGCCGCGGACCCGCCCCTGGCGCCCGCGACGGTGCCTTGCGCCGCCGCGGACCCGCCCCTGGCGCCCGTGACGGTGGCCTGAGCCGCCGCGGACCCGCCCCTGGCGCCCACGACGGTTCCTTGGGCCGCTGCGGACCCGCCCCTGGCGCCCGCGACGGCGCCTCTGCCTCACATGCGCCTGCACTCGGTGCAGCCGCCCGTACCTCACCTCGCGCCTGCCTTCGAGCAGCCGCCCCTGCCTCACCCGCGCCTGCCCTCGGAGCAGCCGTCACTGCCTCACATGCGCCTGCACTCGGTGCAGCCGCCCGTGCCTCACATGCGCCTGCACTCGGTGCAGCCGCCCCTACCCTACCCGCGCCTGCCCTCGGTGCAGCCGCCCCTGCCCTTCCCTGTGCGCCACCCCTCTGTGGCTGTGGGGCGGCTTCTTCCCCGCCACCCCCCCCCCCCCCCCCCCCCCCGCCCCTCCTCCTTCTTCTTCCTGCTGCGCGTGCAGCCGTGGGGGGGAGGGTATGGAGGTGGCGGGTATGGGGGAGATGGGTGGTATGGTCCCTTCCCCTCCTCCTTTCGTTCCCACTGCTGCAGCTGCCGCTGGGGGGAGGGTGTGAGGGTGTGGGGGATCCAGGGGAGTGGCATTGGGGTGGCGGGTGTGAGACATCCAGCCCCCGTCCCTCTGAGGTGGGGGGGGGGGGGGGGGGGGGGGAGGAGAGTAAAGGGGTGGCGGGAGTGCCTGCCCCCCCTTTGCTGTTGTACCTGCTTTGTAACCTTGCCTGTTGCCTGCTGTTGCTGTTTTCTCAGTTCGTGGTGTACCCATCCAGGTTGTGTCGCTGCACAGACTCCTGCTTCTGGCAGTTATGGGGGAGTGTTAGAATATATCTGTAACTGCCTGTAGCTGTAGTTAGTGTAGTTATTATAAACTTTGTTAGGTGGTGCACCTTCTTTGTTCATTTGCTATATGTTCTTGCAAACCTATAGTGAATTCATTTCCATTCTCCAATTCTCGCCTCTCTGCTTGGCACAAACTCCCTCGACTCCCTTGGCCTAGGCTACTAAGCCTAGGCCCTCACTTAAACCTAACTACCACTTGTGCCACTATCTTGACAAGGAAGGACGGAGTGCCATGGTGTGTGTGCCTGGGACAGGAGGAGGACGCGGACGAGGAGCACGACGAGCAGTGCGAACAGGCGAGACAGGACGAGACGCAGGCTCACG